TGTATTAGGTGAATTATTATATGACAATGCTATTCTATTTGTTTTTTTAATACTGTTAAAAATGTACCATGCCGCCAAATGATCGCCGCTGTTGTTAAAATGCAAATCCACTCAATGGGTCATATTAACTGGAGCTCGCCTACATTTCGAATAGCTATAGCTATTCGTGACCGAAGTTTATAAACGTCGGTCACGAATTTAACTCCAACAAAACTGTGTTAATTATTTCATTGTCAACTTTATACTAAAGATTTCACCTACTAAAATATTCATTTGCATTTTCTCACTTAATTAATATTTTCTTACTCATTTAATACCAATCGAGAAGCAATGTTAAGCACCAGATAAGATACAGCCGTGGGAATAATACTACACTTTGATTGTTTAACAAAACATGAGATGCGCACTTAAATATTACACGAATGGATAGCCTACGCGCACGAAAAGACGTAAGTGTATAACTATCAATCATATTATTATTATTATTGATAGTACGTTGATAATGAAACGACTGCATGCCCAATTATCGACCGTACCAAATGAATTATGACCGATGAAACTACACTAATCACTGGCGAGTTCATAGTCCATAGTAAAATATTTGGCATAATTAACATTTCATAATAACTAATCGTAGCGATGTACACTAGTTGAATCTGTTTTGCATAAATGATATTGGATTTCATAACTATCGGATAAAAAAGTACCATAGTTGATGCTAATGTGAAAGCCCTTTTCGTCAATTTCAGTCCTTCGAATTTGGTTGGTCATGCAGACAAATTGCGACCCAAAATAAAATAAACACAAAATTCCGGACAATGTGTTCAATATTTTGCTCCCTACCTGTGAAATTCTCATTACTGATATAAATTAACTGCGAGCCATTGACCACTTGATTCGTTTTTGAGTACGATCAACTCAATCATAGCAACTAACAACAAAACATTCGTTTTAAATAGACAAATGTATCAAATTATCAACAACATATAAAGTACACTTCAAGGATGAGACAATTTATCTCATTTGTAATTATATTTACCTTAAACGTAAATTACCTTCAATTACACGATTAAAACAAATACTCTACTATAAATATAATAAATTAAAAAGTTATATTTTATTTTTACAAACAATTTTTTTATTACCAAGTTTCTTTGTTCCTAAATCGAATGGATTTTTAAATTATATATATATATAGCCGACTCCAGCTAGTTAGGATTAAAGCGAGGAAGACGAAGATGAAAAAAAAGATATATATATATCATTCAATAAATATGGCAATCAACGTTGGAAGTAATTTTTTTTCACCGATATAAAGAAAATATATTCACTGTCAATCTCGGCACATGAATTAATTAGATAATATTATGTATTAAAAAAAATTTAATGACGCTAAATAAATTAAATGCAGTAACTTCTAGTTACTTACATTATATATTCTGTGACTTCTAGACATACTTTACAATTCATTAATATACAGTTCATAGACCAATAAATTTGAGTGATATTAAATAATATTTAAATAACATATGTAAAAATATGTTTTCTGCTAACTACAAACTTTATTTCAAAAATGAACCTTAGAAATACTCCGAAGACTTGCGATTATCGTACTTTTTTAACCTGAAAAATTATTTCATAGTGGCCGTTGCGATAATCTTTCGTTAATCTTTATTGATAGTGATTGAAATATACTAAAAAACGGATGACTGTAAACGACATTTTATGTTGTAATACTACGATGACGTTTATTTTAATAACCTCTGTGACCAAATTTGAGAGGTCACAAATCAAGGACGTTTGACCAGAGATGACAGGGTAGTCACGAAAAATGATTTTAACAAGTTTATTTAGTCACACTTTACTCTATGCCAGCAATTTATTAGTCACTACAGCTATTATTATAATGTAGCATATTGAGTATTGAATATTGTCATTTTTTTAAAACAATTTATAAAAAATAATATATTCTAATTGCAAATTTATTAAATAATCACATAATAGCTGAATTAATAAAAAATGTTATGATTTACGATCCTTACTATACAAGTGTTAATTTAATGACATGAAAAGACATTTTTAATAAATTTTAAATAAATAACATTACGTCTAATATAAAAGACCTGTAAATATGCGTATGATCTTCATTTATTTCCTCTAACTGACTAGGTTTGCAGAACCTATAAATCGCTTGATCTTGTAAATTAATACAACTTTCCACTCCCTAATATCTTATTCTCTAATACGGATTAAGATTTTTTATGGTAATGCATGTCATTTATTAACATATATAAACTTATCATTTTATAAAACTAAAATTAGTATTTTTAAATATCACCTGGAAGTGATATAAATTACTGAATATTGTACATTACTGTATTCAAGTTATGTAGATCAAACTCGAAAGGATTAATAAACAAAAAGATCAATTAACATTTTTTTGAAAAAGCGTTTTTTTATAAAACGTATTATAATTATAAATTTTATTTTTGTGGTGTAATATTATGATATAACACACATTTTGAAAAACATTGGTTCGATTTCACTTATATTTTTTAGTTCCGTAATTAATATAATATCATGTTGGAAAGTAATGAATAACTATTTTTAAAAGTTTCTTAAACGGCAATTAACCCTTTAGTTCAGTATACAAAGATTACTCGACCCATTTTTATATCTTTGCATGTTTAAAACTACGAACTCGAGTAATTAAAAAAAAAATAAAACTTTTTATCTAATAAATTCAATTTTTCATGTATTTGAGAGTAGCGAATGAATTTTCGTTATTTTCCTTGTAGTTAATAATTTTACTCCAATAATTTTCACGCGAAACGTAATCATAAAATTAAATGATAATAGTTTGCTTTGAGCCAACTCGAATTTTTCTGTTCTTAATGACCACAGTGGAACGTGCCAAATGTCATGTTCTCACATTTATGTTTTGCTTTATACCCTCGCACAATTCGCTAATACTAAATTATATACCTAATAGACCCATACGAAATGACATCGCATAACGTTATGACAGATATATACACCAAATATAAGTTAATAAAATAGCAATTATGTTTTAGACTACGTGATTATATTTTTATATTAAATCAGGATGCTACAGGAGTGTAGGTATACTATTAAACATCTAACAGGAACACTGTAAAAGGAAAGACGTTTAAAAATTGAATGGTTAAAATTTGCAACATGTAATTTTTAATTTGATATAATATAATAATCAAAAACCAAAAGAAAAACGTCTTCGAAATAATAATCGTAATAGCAATTTAGTACTCTGCAGTGGGTCTAATCGAGATATGGAGTCAATAACCAGTGCATATTTACAACTAGTATTGAAGTTAAGTGGGTTTTCCATTAATATAAAACACAACTTCAGACGTAAGATCACTTTTCTAGACCTACACTATACATAAAGAACCTGTCCAGCTAAATAGTATTTTTATAATTATTGTTGTATTAAAATCAAAGCACTAACACAAATCACCATATCATATGTCCCACTCGTTTGAGCAATAATTACACAATATTCACTTTAGTTTTAATTTCTTTTTTTTACTCATAACTGACTTTCCATAACTGGCATCAGAATTAAATTTTTCAACTAAATATTTTATTCAAAAACAAAAACAAAATCAATATAAATTATTGTTTTAAAATGATCCGCTTTTTTTATACCGACAAGAGTTCACGTTAAAAACAGCATGCATCTATCTCGACAAGTACCGACAGCACTACTTGAAACTGCAATAGGTACTTCCCCAAAGTACCACAGTCGACTGTATTATAAAAATATTCTTATTATTACGTAGGTTTTATTTCGATGACAGATTAGGTTATCGGTCTGCATCTGGTCGTCATGACGTTCGTGTGTGCGTTTGCACGTCGTGCTGATTTCAATCTAAAATAAAACAAATTCAACTGTATTTTTTACTGATCTGTTCAACCAGCGGTAAGTGGACTGATAATGTGTGCACGCATAACGTATTCACCTAACCAGCCGCCACCGGATAATAATAATAAGTTGAAGCGCCCTCGGACATACAATACCGTAGATTCTGTACCAAATTCTTTGCACTATAGTTGCGCAACGCCTCCAATATAATATTATAATAATTATTATTATGCGTCACGTGGGATTTTTCCTTTCTTAACGAGCAACGTTCTCGCGGTCGGAATGATTTATGTACTTTTCAGCGCACGCCTAAGTTTTATTGGCGAATCTTCCACAGTAAGGTTTTCAAAGTAAAGTATTAATTTTATGTGAGCACTTAGTATTAATATAAAAAAAATAGTTTGATTTTCAAACGATTAAGAGTTGTGATTAATAATTATATCACTCAAAACACTAATATTACAATCTATCATTTAATAAGATCTTAAAGAATTTTTCAGACGGCGTAATCCATCAGCTCATAATAAATCCAGTTTAAATTCTGTATACTTTTAATAGATACTCTTACGATCCGTAAACACGTCCGTAATGAGTAATGACTAGCAATACGTCTATAATTTCTATATCTACTCTTCATCAATACATGAACAAGTCATGATAAACTATTCTGTAGTTTGTAATGGTTCTGCCCGTTTTCTCTGGATCAAGGTCGGCGCGACTGAATAATTAAAAATATGTTTGTACTCGCGGTTGCAGAAAATACGGCAACGTACTTCTGGATCGCTAAGACGATGACGATGAAATAATAACAACAATATTGCGATCAAAAGTTAGCAACAACAGAAATATTATTACTATAGCACTATGGACGTTATTGACCACGGGGCAACCGCGTCGAATGTATCTTGTATGCATAACCGGCCCCCTTACGGTAACCACACCCAAACTGGACCGAAAAAAGCGGCCGGAGGGCTTTGGCTGGTGACAAGGCGATAGCGATCGCTGCAGGTGCAAGTAGGGGGATACCTTCCAACAGTGTGTTATTTTTTATTTAGCCTCCCGAAGTAAGTGGGATGTACTATGTATAAAATCTTAGACCTAGACTCGATCTTGGTGATTGGTGTCCGTCTAACGAACCGCTTCGAAACGTGCGCTCTGTGTTGGTTTTATTTAATATAACTTTAGTTCATACGCGAGTTTAGTGTTTTGTTTAGTTTGAAGATCCAAAAAAGCTATTGCCATTATGGAACTAAAGGTATTTATAAATTAAAAAATAGCCTAAAATGTCATACAAATTATATTTTATAAAAAAAATTCAACGTATATTAATAGCACTATTTCCATAGAAAATATTTTAACTTTTTAAAATAATTTTAAAAATGTATACCTACAATAAATTAAAAAATAATCAAAATAATTTTTTTTTTTTAAGATAAGCAATTTTTTATAACATAATATTTGTTCATTTATTTTTTCGTCAAAGGTTATAGCGATCACGCTATTGTTAGCTGTAAGCTGTAACGCTCAATATGAAAGTCATCAACATAGTGAAGATTGCTCTCATCCACCAAAATACGGACCTCAGAAATCTGAATACTCCCAAATTTCATACTCTTCAGTCCCTAAGCCCATTTCTTACTTCAAACCTAGCTACGAAGCTGCCAGTTACTCAGCCCCAAGTTATTCAGCTCCAAGCTACTCTGCTCCGAGTTACGCAGTCCCTGAACCGAATTATGCTTCCTCAAGCACACCAAAATATGCTTCACCTAGCTATGCTGTTCCTGACCCAAGTTACGCTTCTCCAAGTACACCAAAATACTCATCACCAAGCTACACAAGCAACTACAAACCAGCCAAGTCTGCTTATTCCTCATTAGCATATTCAGCTCCAGCTTATTCAGCGCCAGCATACTCTGCTCCAGCATACAAACCAGCAGTTTACTCCACCCCTAAATACGTATCCAGCGCCCCTGAATACAGCCAACACCAATACAAAAGTGAATACAAACCAGCTTCTGCCTATTCTGTAACTACACCAAAATGCGACGATACTGCTCAACACGAGTACTCTACTCCAGCGCCATCATATTCAGCATATTCTTCTGGTTCATTGTACAATAAACAATCTTATTCCAAACCCACTTACTCCGCACCTAGTTATTCTTCTTCTAGTTACTCTTCATCTAGCTACTCAGCTGCTGGTGCTCCAAGCTATGCTGTACCAGAACCAGCATATGCTTCCCCAGCCCCAGTTTACTCAACTTCAAGCTATTCCACTCCAGCTCCAAGCTACGCAGCCCCTAGCTCTTCTTACTTGTCTTCATCATCCAGCTATTCTCAACCAAAATATTCTGCCCCAAGCTATTCTTCTTCTAGCTACTCTTCCTCCGGTTACTCCACTCCAACTGCTAGTTACGCAGCCCCAAGCTCTTCTTACTCATCATCTAGTTACTCTCAACCAAAATATTCCGCACCCAACTATTCTTCTTCAAGCTACTCCACTCCAGCTCCAAGTTACGCTGCACCAAGCTCCTCTTATTCTTCATCGTCTTTATCCAGCTATTCTCAACAAAAATACTCCGCTCCAAGCTACTCTTCTTCCAGCTATTCCGCTCCTGCTCTAAGCTATGCTGTACCTGAACCCATATACGCTTCCCCAGCTCCAAGCTACTCAGCCGCTGTATACTCAACTTCAGCACCTAGTTATGCAGTACCTGAACCCATATACGCTTCTCCAGCCCCCAAATACTCATCAACCAGCTCCAACTCATACTCAAGCAGCAGCTATAAAATCTCCAAACCCCAATACATTGCACCAGGTTACAAACCAGCAGAATACTCAGCACCTTCTACATATGCCACAGCATCCACCCCATGCAATGACGATCATGAATACGCAACCAAAACACCATCTTACTCCAAACAATCTTATGCCGTAGCTCCATATTCTCCATCAGCTTATACGCCATCTAAATCATCTTATTCATCAAAATCACAATATTCTTCAGCTCCAATTGCAGTATACTCTCCATCTACTTCTTACGGGCAAGCATCTGGATATGGTTCAGCTGCTAGCTACTCATCTCCATCATACTCTTCCCAATCGAGCTACTCTTCAGGCTCGGCATATGCTCCATCAGCTCCATCTTATGGACTATCAGCTTCATCATATGCTCCATCGGCATCAGGATATGCTCCTTCTGCTCAAGCATACTCTCAATCTTCTTACCAACCCAAGGAATATGCACCAGCTAAGACCTACTCAAGCTATGTAACACCGCCTAAATCCGGACCAACCAAGAACGTTGTCAACAGTCATTTGGAAAATTATGTAAGTACATTTTTAATATAAATCTTCTTAAAAACTTAAAAAATTGGTATTGGTTAATATTTCTTAAAAATTTTTTCCAAATAAATGTTTAATTTTTACTGTAAAATTCATTATATTATATAACATAAATCATGCTACCTTAGTATATAAAAGTTAACGGTATCGGTTAAGTACGCGGAAATATAACAAAAACTGCAGAGCGTAGGACTGTTCTTATTACATCAATGTTTTTTTTTTTGCAATTTGCAACATGCAATACATGATGAATTTCATTTTTTATTATTTCAATCACTTCATTATATGCGCGGGTTTCGTCATTAAAATATATTCTACTCACAAATAAACAAAAACATTACTCTTAACTACGTTTGGACTATTCAGTGTACCATTATGAGTTTTTTTATTCTAATTTTGTTTTTTTATACATATATATAATATAAATAGGACGAAAACCCCAGGTACGCCTACGAATATGCCGTAGACGATTCGTACACTGGTGACAAGAAGAGCCAAAAAGAAGAACGTGACGGTGAAGTCGTGAAAGGCGAATACAGTCTGGTCGAACCTGATGGTTCCATCAGAACTGTCACATATTACGCCGACTGGGACAACGGTTTCTTTGCCGATGTCAAAAAAACTCCAGCATCAGGAGCACCAGCTAAATACTAATTTCAAAAATGAGATACGATAAAATAATATTTTTGTAAAGTTTTTATTTTATTTTACATTTTATATTATATATAAACATCAAAACTAAGATGTTTAAAAAGAACTTCACTTACCATTACCAACATCATCGTCAACACACTATTTATAATAATATTATATTACCATAAAATCATTATAATTACATTTCTTGTATAATCTATCGATCTTTCTACAATACTCGTGTATATACTTCACATTTAAGTAATATAATTAATTAGTTTTTTTTATGTCAATATTCTTTCTAAATATTAATTCGATATCGTTATGTATAATAGTGTCATACAAACATATGTAAGCATATTCGCAAAAATAAAAATACACATGATCTCACATTAAAAATTTTACCTGTTGCAAAAATAATTCCCTGTACAATTCGAATTATCCGTTTCATCTTTATGATGGATTACTATAATACGCCTAAATAGTCGATACTAAAAAAAAAGTATTTTGAAACACAATATAATTCGTTTTAGTGAAAAGTTTAAGTCACATTTTCTTTATACGGTGTCCGTCAATTAAGCTTATCGACTAACCAATCAAAATGACATTAAAGTTATGAATTATATAATGGATTATGTTATTATTACATTCTCTCTATAATCACCGTTGTATATATAATATTAAATTTTACATCAATTGATCAATTGATGTAAACAGTTTTTTGCCCTTTTTGAATTTATATATATATATTTTTTTTTTTTCCATTGTTTATTTATGTATCTTAGGTTAATCTTTATTAATTGTATATTATTTGTACCTGTACTTAAAACAAAAAACACCGTAGTTACCAATAATATTGAGCAAAGCTGTATTTATTTATTCATAACGGCCTACTATTATTCCTATTTCTATGTTATCCATTTGATTATATCATTTAAACGCTTTAGTCTAGATAAAAAAAGAGAGAGTAATAATTATAATTACCCACTTAGTAAGTATATGGGATTTTTGCTATTTAGGTGACCTGAGCACGTCTTGGAGGTCTACGGAAACCGGTCGGCGCCTCCGGACTGATACACATAATAAAATATGCTCCGTTATATTTATGTAAATCATAAATATTTGGCAAGGCTAGATACTTGACCAACAACCGCGTTTATTATTATATCTTACGGCAGGTTACGTGTGTACCTTTATGAGTAAATACATTTTATTTCACCTATTATCACGCTTACATACTATAAAATATTAAAGCGATATATCATGTAATACGTTGTACCCTCTAGCGTTTATTCAGATTTGCAATTAGATGCATAGAATCTGAATGATGGCCAATACCGAATGGTATATTCGTTTCTAAGTGAGTATATTTCATGCGTATACATGAGTTTATGAGTACCCAAAATAAGAGATCAATTTATTATGCAATTTTACAAACATTGTATTGAACGATGGATGACCTAAAAATATCATTTGCATACACACTACCGTGTATATGAAGGTGAAAAGACGATACGTACACTACACCTAAATATGCTTAATAATACTTTTAAAAATTATTTAAAGATCTTTTTAAAGATTCATCATTATTTATTATTTTAATTAAAAATTTTAATAAAATCTCAAAGAGTGCTGTACAAAATATGAGATATTCTATTTATTTTCGTTGCATATTTGTTTATTCATAAGATGACTAAGACAAATTTAAACTTGAACCCGCATCTTACCGAAAAAAAATGAAAAATCATCCGGTCACTCCCAATTTTATTTTAATTGACATATTATAACAAATGTTATTCCTAGAAAAAAATATCGTACTGTTCAGTTACTTTTATAAGTCACTGGATTAGCCAAATTAATATAACATATATTTATAAGATGCAAAATTTCGCAAAATAGTCAATATTAAAATGAAAATATTATTGTTATAAGATTATGTTTGATTATATTTAAATTAGCGCTATAAAAAATAAATTATTATTTATATATATATATATATATATAGCCAAATTAAAAAAATACTATACAATAAAAAAGTCAAAATTCAAAAAAAATATCGTACTGGTAATCTGTAGCTCATATTTAACCAACCAATACTATAAGTTTTAAATAATTTCTTATGGGTCGATAAAAACTTTAAGCTAAGTACTTGTTAAGTTACTAGCATTTATATATATAGAGTGGGTTTGTAGTGCGGGTGGGTACAGCTCGAACTGGTGTAAAGTTTGCATATTATATACATAATACATACTCCGCCCGCGTTACATACTCATTCTATGTATTTAAATGCTTATAACTCAATAATTAATTATCCTAAAAAATCAATACCTTCTACTAATAGATGATATGATTCAGTTTCTTTTGACAATCAATATAGATCCAGTTGAAACTAATCAAACGAAATGACACATATAATAAATAATAATAAAAACGGTAGCACAGTGGGGTCGAGGCACAGTGTGGACGAGGCATAGATGGGACAAGTATAGATGATATCTGACAGTGATTAAAATCACTATCATAAGAAACGCTTCGATGCAAATCTGTAGATAGTGTTTCCTTTAGAGAAATTGGTGAAATATTTTAAAAGCAACATGAACTCTTATTTCTTTAATTATATCCTGATTAGTAGTTCTTTGATTTTAAAATATAATATATGAATAAATACTAATTATAGTTTTTAAATTTAGTATGAAATTGTGAGGCCAGCTATGATGTATGGTTCATAGTGTTGGGCGGTTGATAAGAAAGTAGAGCAGAGAATAAGTGTAGCAGAGATGAGAATGCTTAGTTGGATGAGTGGAGTGACTAGAGAAGATAGGATAAGGAACGAGCATATAAGAGGAAGTATAGGTGTTGCGTCAATCGTGGATAAGATGACAGAAAATAGACTTAGATTGTTTAGTCATGGTATGAGGAAAGAAGAATCGAAAGCTGTAAGAACAGTTATAGAAATGAATGTTGAAGGAAGAAGAGATAGAGGAAGACCAAAAAAGAGATGGAGGGATGCTATTGAATGCGATTTGAGGACAGCTGATGTGAGCGTAGAAGATGTGGGAGATCGTGTCAAGTGGAAGCTTAGGATAAGGGTGGCCGACCCCAAGTAGTTGGGATTAAGGCAAAGAAAAAGAAAAATATTACCAGATATTCCGGTGGCAATTGACATAATATGATTGTTATTTCGGAATGTACAATTTAGCGTTTAGTTGGGTTTAAATAATATAGCGTCAAATCAATTACCTACTCTATCGGTTGTATCTCAATATACACTACACTTTAATGATACAATAAATAAATAAACTCACACATACACACATATGCATTTATAACATTGTGTCTAATGTAAGTATAACATGATAAAAAGTAACCGTAAAATGAAAAAAATGGAATATAAATTTTATTACTCATATTAAATGTAATGTAACTCGAAAAATATTTGTTTAAATGAAAAAATATAAGATTATATTTTTATTTATAATTGTCTTTTAAACAACTTTTGTGCGAAACTTTTTTTTGTAAGTTAAATATTTTTTTTTGAGAAAATTAAGAAAGCTCATATTTTTGAACTTTTGCGAGGATTTAAAAAAAAAGCTCAATTCCAATCTTGAGGACTATTAGTATGTCATTATACATATTTTAATTCAACTTTTAAAAAAACAAAATTTTTTCCGCAATTTTTCCTTTGTTGACAGGCCTAGATGTCAATTTTAAACTTGTAATTGAGCTAAAAGTTATGGTAATATATTCAATTTATTTTACTATAAACTTTCATAAATCTTTATCAAAAATTTTTCATCAACTTTAAAGAACCAAAAAAATAGGTTAAAATTGAAAATTTGGACTGATTATTTTTAACATATTAAAAATCAAATCAGTAATAATTTGAAAACAAATTTTTTTTTCTTTCAATTATTATTTTATATATAATTAGTAATAATATAAAAAATTAGAAGTGATAGAAAAGTCTACTTGCAGATTTGAAAACAATGCGAAAAGTTGATTTAGAAAAGTATAATTTTGTTTCTGATGAAAGTTCCTTGTAGTCCAGTGCATTTTTTTATAGTAACAAACAGTTTTTATTGAAAATTATTGTATCAAGCCCTTTAAATTTTTATACACGTAAAAGTAAATCAAAATATAACTTCTTTATTATTTTTATAATTTCTCCGTTTAAATTACAATATTAAATATCAATTTCATACTAAATTTAATAATTATAATTAGTATATATTCATATATTATATTTTAAAATCAAAGAACTACTAATCATGATATAATTAAAGAAATAAGAGTTGATGTTGCTTTTGGAATAATCCACCAATTGCCTAATTAAAACAAAAAAAAAAAAAGTTTGTTGGGAATTTTTTCTGCTATTCTGCAAAATTACTCCTTCGTTGACTAGAATGAATCATTAAATAGAAAATTTTATGAGAATTAAAACAATGTTATTTTTAAGATTAATATGCAGTCAGAAAGTTTTATAATTATTATTTATTGTAAATTTATCAGAAAAACTCATTATTTTTTGCATTTTTATCGTAATAGAACACTTAAATAGAAATCATAGTAATCATTTCTAAGTAATTTTTGATATTTAAAAAGATTCTACTATTGAAATATCCAGAACTGAATTAATTTTAATGATTTACTTTAACTAAAAAAAAAAAAGTTAATATTTTGAATCCCTCTTGTGGGCAGGTAAAGGGTTAGATTTATAAAAAAAACCAAATGATAGATAAAGACATGCATCTAAATAAAAAAAAATATACTGATTTGGTCATTTTTGATAAAGTTATAACAATTAACAAAGTTATAAGTTTTATACACTGGACTACAAGGAACTTCCATCAGAAACAAAAATATACTATTCTAAATCAACTTTTCGCGATGTTTTAAAATGTGCAATTAGACTTTTTCTATAACTTCTAAGTTTTAATATTATTAAAAAATAGTTTTTACATATAAAAAAAAATAATTAAGAACAAAAAAAATTGTTTTAAATTAATACTGATTTGATATAATATTTAATATTAATTTGATTATTAATAAGTTAAAAATAAGGAAAATGACATATTTAACCTATTTTGTTAATCGTTTAAAGTTGATTGTTGTAAATGTTTATAATAAAAAAAAAAAATTTATTTTACCATAACTTTTAGCTCAATTGGTAAGTTTGACATTGACATAATTAAATAGAAAATTTTATGACAATTAAAAAAATTGTATCGTTAAGATCAATATGCAGTCAGAAAGTTTTATAATTACTATTTATTGTAAATTTATCAGAAAAGCTCAATATTTTTTTGCATTTTTATGGTAATAGATAACTTAAATAGAAGTAATAGTAATAATTTCCTAGGAACTTTTGTTGTTTGTTGAAAAGATTCTATAATTGAAATATTGAGAACTTAATTAATTTTAATGATTTACTTTAACTAAATGTACCAATCAAAACAAAGTTGTTAAAAAGATTTACTCAATTGAGTGTATTATAAAATTTGATTATATTTGTAAAAATCAATTGTTAATTCAGGAGAAAAAACAATCATTTTTTTTAGAAATGATTTATATAGCAACATGTTACAAAAAAAAATTGTAATATTATAGTCTAGTAGTAGCACACACAAATAGAGTAAAAAAATTATTAAATTACAAAGTAAAATGATTTAATTTTGTAGTTGAAACCTATCATATCAAACTTCATTCGTTAATAAATATTTTGAAAACATTAGAAATTAATGATTTTAATTGTCTTTATGGAGACGATGTAATAACTAACTGTTTAATTGATAAATTAGAATTTTTTTTTCAATTTTTGAGAGTAATATCTTCAACTAGATACGAATTGTAGTAATTTGACGTATTGTTGAAAAAAGTAGGTCAAGTTAGAGCAGAGAAAATAAATGATAGTCACAAAAAAATATCTTCTCGGCTTTGCATCGAAGCGAAAACTTAAAATATAGTAAAATAATTTTAATACGAATAAGAAATTTCTTCTTGCAAGGGGCGACTAAAGTGATGGGATCCTTGATCTTTATTGAAGTTATTGAATCTAAATGTGATAAAAATCAAACGAGTTAAAATTTATACTAACTTAAAAAGAATTAAGAAAAAATGCAAAAAATTCATTGCCATATGCGGGTTGGAACCTCGTACCCCAAGCGTGTAAAACATAAATTTTACCAACTCGGCAACCGTACGTTGCTTCCGGCGGTTGAAAAATTGGCTATTTAAGCTAGTTCAAATTTCAAAGTTATTTTTCTCGACTTAAAAGAAACAAACATATTTAAATAAGTTTAACTATCTATACTATATCAATTTTAATTTATATAATATTTATGAAAATCTGTACTCCCCTTGTCAGGTATTTTAAAATAAAATAAAATACAAAACCCAGAATTTTAACACAAAAATAGCATATTTTTGCATACGGTAGTCATTTTTACCATGAAGACAAATCCAGAGGTCAAATTTTTTTTTTTCACATTAAAGTATATTACATAAGCTTTAATTTAAGATATATTTAAAAGTGTCAGTATTTCCGGAATACTTTCAAAAATTAAATTGAAAATATCGTAGTAACAATACGCATGTTTAAAGTTTTGACCCCCCTTGTTAAAGGGGTATGATCCGATTTACAAAAAAAGCGTGCCAGATGAAAGGGGTATATCAATATTTATTATAAAAAAATAATAATATAGATCCATACATTTTTCCAAAAGTTATATAAAATATAAATTAAATAATATAACATATAAAATCGAGATTTTTTTCACGGAAATCGTACGTTTTTCTTTAACTTTGATGTCCGTTTTCACCACGAAGACAAGTCCAGAGGTCAAATTTTTTTTTTTCAAATTAAAGTATATTACATAAGCTTTAATTTAAGATATATATAAAAGTGTCAGTCTTTCCGGAACATTTTCAAAAGTTAAGTTGAAAAAGTTCTACTTTCTATACGCATTTTAAAAGGTTTGCACCCCCCCTGTATAAAGGGAAATGGTCCGATTTTAAAAAAAAGTATGTCGAATGAAAGAAGTATATATAAAGTATTTATCATTAAAGAATAAAGTTGATTCATGCATTTTTTAAAAAGTTATAGCAACATAATGTTAAAAAATGTAAAATATAATATCAAGAATTTTTTCACAAAAATAGCATATTTTTGCATACGGTAGTCATTTTCACCATGAAGACAAGTCCAGAGGTCAAATTTTTTTTTTTCAAATTAAAGTATATTACATTAGCTTTAATTTAAGGTATATATAAAATTGTCAGTCTTTCCGGAACATTTTCAAAAGTTAAGTTGAAAAAGTTAATTTTTTGTAAAAAAGTTACCATTTTGAAACCCCATCCTTTGGGCTGTTAAAGGGTCAAATGTTCACAAAAATATATAAAATGATAGGTAATTATCTAAGGTATCTATAAAAAAAAAAATTATATTGATTCGGTCATTTTTAAAAAAGTTATGGCAATTTTAAGTAAAAAAAATTGAAAAAATATCGAAAATTAGCGATTTTTAAATTTGTAATTTTTTGGGGGATTTCCCCCGTTTACGGGGAACGAGGGAATTTTTTTCAATTTTTGAGGGTAATGTCTTCGACTAGATACGATTTGTGATCTTTTGACATATTGTTCATCAAAATCGGTCCAGCGAGAGCTGAGATTGAGCGTTCACAGACACAAAAAAAAAAATTTAAAAAAAAACACATCATAGTAAAATTAATACCTTCTCAGCTTCGCATCGAAGCTAAAATAAATGTTTATTAAGTAAAGATTTAATTCCTCCGATATATTCACATCGAATCTCAAAAAACATGTATTTAATCTTAAACAAAAAAATTGATAGTTAAAACTGAGTTCAACAAAGATGAAACTACTAATAATAAACAAAAAAAGTACAACCTAATCTTATAAATTATATTTCAAAATAGAAATATTTTGTAATATTGAATCTTCTTCTTTTTTCTCGCCTTTATGCCGACCACTTGGGGTTGACTACCCTTATCCTAAACTTCCACTTAACACGATCTCCCACATCATCTACTATCACATCAGCCGTCCTCATATTGCATTCATTAATATCCTCCCATCTCTTTTTTGGTCTATCTATAATTCTTCATCCTTCAATATTCATTTCTATAACTATTCTTTCAGCTTTCCGATTCCTCTCTCCTCATGACATGATCAAACCATCTAAGTCTATTTTCTCGCATCTTATCCACGATTAACGCTACACCTACATTCCCTCTTATGTGTTTGTTCCTTTTCCTATCTTCTCTAGTTACTCCACTCATCCATGTAAGCGTTCTCATCTCGGCTATACTTGTCAACACTATGAACTATACGTCATAGCATACAGTCAAGACCTTCGGTCGTTTTTTATTAGAATAATAAATTAAATGATATACCATTATATTATTTAATTTGTCTTATTAAATAAATTGTCATTTTAAAAATATTTATAAGCAATTAAATTATTTACATTTTTAAGTTATGGAAAACTTGCATTATTTAATTAAACAAATTTAGTCAGAAATGATTGTACTATATGTAGTCTCTCAATTCGTTCAATGACAATGAAATACAATAGAGTTTAACGTCCGGTATGCCGGTCATGCGTTTGATTTATTTATTCCTCTCAGAAAAAAACATCAACCCAAACATTACACACAGAGAATCTATTACAGTAGTCATCATAACTACAGAAGTCAATACGGATGTTAGTCTATTGTTATACATTGAGAATCAGTGCTGCAAACCCTTATCTTACGCACAAACTGTATATAATAACACTGTAAGATAACGATACCAAATCGTATGATAACCAAGATACTGTAGATCATAGATCTATGAAACATTCATCCGTGTAGATTATAGTTAAAAATTTTGAGAGTCGTCGTTTGATTCGGTCGGACTGTGACAACGTTGGCAGACAATGACGATTGACTGCCAAAGGAAATGACCACTTAATTAACAGGATGAAGATCGACTATCCAACAAGACACTCTTCAAAAATGGTAACTAATAAACTTTTTATACTTTCTCTTTATTAAAAATTAGAAGTAAAATATAATTTTCTAAAATACATGAAAACAAATTTAATAAAGAATATAAAAGAAATATATATGTAAATTAAAATTCAAGTAACAAATCAAAAAAAATTTATTTTTAATTTTCTTGGTGGGGTATTTTTAAAAATATTTACTGACACTATGTTTGCTGTTCACATGAATTATTCTCTAAAACCTTGAACATTAATTTTTTACTTGTGACTAAATTATTTTGAAAATTGATGTATTTTATTGAATAATTCTACAGGAGTTCTAAAATATTCAATATGAGACAACAGGGATGGATGCGTATTTTGGCTTTCATTACATTTTCATGGGTTGCCTTTTTATTAATTACAATTAAATTTGTAAAACAACAAGATAATATAGATGGCGATTCATCTCAAAGATTAGCTAGAGCACTTGAGGAACTTGAAAAATTACATAGAAGTAATGCAGAACTTAATGCACTAGTTTTGGACCTAAATGATAAGTAAGTTTAGGTTTATAGCTTCAAAATTGTGTCTCCTTAAATTTATTTAGTTTCAAATGTAAAGATGTTAGTATTTAATAATTGTTTCTTTAATATTTCATTAGCCCAAAAGTTGATCACAAAAAAGTTCTTCTAGCTTATATGAAAAATTCCAAAGAAACTCATTCAAATGCTCCATCAGAAGAATATGAACTTTTGCGTCGACGTATATATGCTAATATAAAAGAACTTTCGTTTTATATAAACACTGAATTAAATTCTTTGGGAAAAGAAATTAATGGAGTAAATACAGAGCATTTAGAAAAAATTAAAAAAAATTTTGGTGAACATTATAGAGCTCTACTCAGTGATGTGAAAAATTTATCTGAAGTTGATGGGCATGCACAGTGGAGGAAAAAAGAATCAGAGAATTTAAGTAATTTAGTGCAAAAACGTTTGTATTATTTACAAAACCCATCAGATTGTTCTAAAGCAAAAAAAATTGTTTGCGACCTAAATAAAGTGAGTCTTTTAATCTAATATTTTCAAAAAACTAAAACCCAGAGAGATACTTAATTTCGCCAGAAAGACAGAACTCTTTGAATATTCTCATAGGGTGACTTGACCCTTTATACAATGATAAGTATAATGTAATAACACTTAGGTGTGTACACCGAATCAAGACAATTCAGTATTAGGTATACACAATGGATCTGAGTGTATGGGCATTATGTCCACCTCGTTAATTACTAAAACTAAAACTTATCTAATATTTTTACACTTAATTTGATAATCTATTGATCAAATTATTATTTTTTCTATTCAACTATCTTAACTTTATTAATACTAGTTATTTTTAGGGTTGTGGATATGGTTGTCAAATACATCACGTTGTTTATTGTTTTATTGTTGCTTATGCAACAGAAAGAACATTAGTACTAAAATCAAAAGGCTGGAGGTATTCTAGAGGTGGTTGGCAGGATGTATTCTTACCGTTAAGTAATACATGTACATCACCCAATGGAGAAACAGTAAGCCGATGGCCTGGTAATAAACATTATATATATTTTATTACAAAAAAAAAAATGTCTATAAACAAAAAAATTCATTGGTGTTAAAATTAATACCAAATTCTCATGTAAATTTTTTTATTCTTATAATTCTATTAAAAAGATATAGCAAAAAATGTATGAATTAATTAATGTAAATTATATTATTTATTTATATCTAGTTTATATTTAACATTCTTCAATATTGTTTTGGATGTGCCTGGTCAAACCTTTTGTGAAACCAATAGCTTAACTAAAAAAAATATACCACACTATTATTAAAACCAGAAATTTTTTTATTTCAAATAATTTTGTTGACATTTCTGTTTAAATTATTACATTTTACTTCCTTTTTCAATAAAAATTTTAAACCTCCCTGTTCATTTTTTTTTTTTTTTTAATTCTTAATTGATGCAAGATAATTATTAGTGGTATCAATTTTTAAAGTATAATTTTGGAAAAAAATAAACTCCCCTTATTTTTATATGAAAATAATGAATTTTTATTTGTAGTATTTATGTGATATTATTATGACTTTAGGTAATCGAAAAACTCAAGTTATCACTCTACCCATTATTGATTCAATAAATCCTAGGCCTTCTTTTCTTCCACTTGCTTTACCAGAAGACATTGCACCAAGATTAAATATTTTACATGGAGATCCTGTTGTATGGTGGATAGGTCAATTTCTAAAATATATGCTCAGGCCACAACCTATTACCAGTCAAATGTTAGATGATTATTCCAAGAAAGTAGGATTTAAAAAACCAATTGTTGGGTATGTATTATAGAACACTAAACATTTAACTTGTCAAATTTTATAAATTAAATCATAACATAAATTAAGATTAAAAACTATGTAAATATAACTTAATTTTAGAGTGCACATTAGAAGAACCGATAAAGTCGGTACAGAAGCTGCATTCCATAAATTAGATGAATATATGGTTCATGTAGAAGAATTTTATAAATTTCAAGAACTTAATAATAAAATTCATAAAAAGCGTGTTTATTTGGCTACTGATGAACCCAAATTATTTTCTGAAGTTAAACATAAGTGAAGTTTTTAAAATATAGTGTCTTTAATATTTTTTTTATTTAATAATTACTTATTGATGTCATAGATATCCTGATTATGAAATAATTGGAGATGAAGATATTTCTAAAACTGCATCAATAAGTAAACGGTATTCAGGTCAATCATTAAGTGGTATAATAACTGATATTCATTTTTTATCACTAAGTGATTACTTAGTTTGTACTTTTTCATCTCAGGTAAAACATTTTTGTGGTAGTTAAATCTAATAATACATAGAAATAATGATAGATAATTTTGTCTGTTTTATACTTTTGTTGTTGAATATTTTTAATTGTCCTAAAATTAATGTTATTAATTTTGTTATACTTAAAAAATATTAAAGTTAATTATTGATATTAAGAAAAGTATCTAAAAACTTAATTTGACATTTTAGTCTTAAAACTATACTTCTTTCAATTAAACTTAAATTATTTATAGGTATGCAGAGTTGCATATGAAATAAAGAACACACTCCAATCTGATGCTTCTACTTTATATAAATCTCTAGATGACATATATTATTATGGAGGTCAAAAACGTAGACTTCATGTAGCAGTTTTATCTCATGTAGCTGATGGGCCTCAAGAAATGGATCTTCAAGTTGGTGATCAAATTGCTGTAGCGGGCAATCATTGGGATGGCTATTCAAAAGGAACAAATTTACGTACTAAAAAAAATGCTTTATATCCCACATTTAAAGTATGCATACTTGTATTTTAATTTATAAATTAAATTCAATTTAAATAATTATATTCATCTTTTTTTGTTATCAGGTAATTCCAAAAATTGAGACTGCTAGTTTTGGCAATTACCTTAGTGTTCCATTTAATGCTGAAAATATAATTGACAAAAATAGATAACATCATACATGATTTATATGGCTCAAATAATGTATTTTACTTTGTGTACTCACTAAACCCAAAGGTCTTAACTACTTCACAAAATTGTATGGCTGGAGATTTTTTTCCTTGAATGGACTATAAATATTATTTTCATTGTTCAATTACTTTATTTTTATTTTCTGTGATAATGTTTTCGAGTAAATTCAGTTTTGACTCTCTATTTTATTTACTAGTCTTTTTTATGATAATTCTTTTTATAAATATTTACTTAAGACTATTTATTTTCTACTTATTAAATTAACGTTTTTTATAGATCTATATAATTTTTGTAAAATTATTAGTTACATTATAATTACCAAATATTGACAAATTTTCTATAACTATCATATTAATATTATATTTAATGTTTTATAAAATTTATAATAATAATAATGAGATTATTTAATAATCTTATTTAAATTACATTGATAACTGCATTATACAAAAAAATACTTTCCACTGTAACTAATATTATCTTTTCAGTATTGATTATTGAATGAAAAAAATATGTGTTAAAATAGAGTATTTACCAAAAAAAAATCGAACAAATTTTGTAAAAATAGCTAGTCTAATTGTGTCAGTACATGTTTTATTTAATTTTTTTTTATTTAAGATTAACGTTCACCTAAGAGTAGTATTACTATCTATAAGATTATTTATATATTTTTGCATATATACTTTTTCAAAATAAATTGAATAAAATTACAGTCAACTTTTATTTAAATTGTAAATTATTCAATAGTTTATTTTATTCTAGTAAATATGTGTGTTAATTTAACTATTATTAGTCCAATTACTTATATCAGTATCAACAATGTAAGTTTGTATTTATTATTATACAAGCAAAATATTACAAATAATAATTAAAACTTATATTCTCATTATTATTTTGTCTATTATTAAATATTTACTTTTATTTTTTATTAAGCTGATATTTTATAAGATATTTTCAATATACCTTAAAAACTTGAATCTGTATTTAAAAATTAGTTTACATTATTATTGTAAAAACTACTACTATTTAATTTTTTTGTAAAATAAAATAAAGGTAGCTCAATCATCTTAATGTTAGTATTCTGTTTAATTTTTTTCTTAGAAAACTAAAATCTTTTCATCTTATACAGAAAATGTTAAAAAAAAAGTTCAAATTCATTATTTTAACCAATTTGATAGTGATATTTCTATATTATATGTAATAATAAATTATAAACATAATTTAAGTATTTATGTAAAATAATTTATAAATTCTTCAAACAAAATTACAAAATATTGACACCAATGTCTATTTTAATTTTATTTCTTGTATTTTTAATTATTTAAAACTTGCTTAGATTTCACTAATAAAAAATTATTCAATATATATTTGATCTCTAAATTTATAATTATTTAAATAAAATTATTTAAAAACCAATATTGATTTTATTTTTCATGCAATCCTTTTACATTACATAAATCTATTTTTTTACAATAAATTAAAATTGTTACCTGTTAACTTTTCTATTATTTTAAATATTAGCCACAATAAAAAATTATTAAATTTAATATTAAATATTACTACTTAAGTGTATAATACCATAGAAAATTACTATAAAATCCTTAATTTTTCTTATGAAGTTAAATTATGTCTAATGAAGAAAATATCTGGTCTAAATATAATAAATATTTTAAAGAGAATTTCAGAAGGAATTAACACTTAAAAAGGTAAAGAAAAGTGTTTCTTTTTAAATTTATTTTAAAAATAATTTTGTTTTGCTATTTTTAAGTAAGTAACTTTAATTCACAAGGAAGCAGCAAAGTGATCAATCACCAACCCCCTCCACAATAATTTTGTGGCCAACAAAATTCAGGTATTTTTTCACAAAATTACTAGTTCTTTTGCCTATCCTGACTTCATTACCACCTCTATACGCCATTTGAATTTTTATCAAAAAATTAGTTGCGTTTAGTTTGGATTTAAAATTAAATTAAAAAAAAGTTATAACTTTGTTGCTGAATACTATTTAAACTATTGGATATTTTTATATTATTTATCATCAAACAACAAAAAAGATTTTTATACAACTAAGGTAAAAATATTGTTTATCCTATTTTATACATAACAATTATATCTTATTTTTTTCTCGCCTTTATGCCAACCACTTGGGGTTGACCACTCTTATCCTAAACTTACGCACACATCAGTCATCATATTGCGTATTCATTATTATCCCTCTATCTCTACTTCTTCTTCCTTCAACATTCATTTCCGGAACGGTTCTTACAGCTTCGATTCCACTTTCCTCATAACATGACCAAACGTCCTAAATCTATTTTTTCTCATCTTGTACACAATTGACACTACACCTGTACTCTCTCTTACATGTTCGTTCTTATCCTATCTTCTCTAGTCACTCCTTTCGTCCATGTAAGCATGCATACATCTCTGCTACACTCATTCTTTATTCTACGTTCTTATCAACCGCCCAACACTCTGAACCATACATCATATCTGGTCTCACTACAGTCTTGTAGAACTTATTATTCAACCTCATTGAATTTCTCTTATCGCATAAAACACCAGACGTTTCACTCTACTTCACCAACCTGTACTAATCTTGTGTCTTACATCACCGTCTTTTGTACAACTGATCCTAAATACTTAAAACTCTCCAATCACGTCCTCATCTATTGTCACTGACCTTCTCATTTAACTATTAATCTTTAAAAGACTGTAGTTGTTTTTAGTTTCGATGCGAAGCTGAGAAGGTATTAATTTTACCATGATGTGTTTATTTTATTTATTGTGTCTGTCACTACATTTTTCAGTTCTCACTAAAGCCTATGAAATGCACTATAAAATGAAAAAAAATATTTGTCCTGACGACTTATCTTCTATGTACAAATAGATGCCGTATTTAAAAACCATGCTATTTTTTGTGTTCAAATTTTATTTTTGTTTTGTTTATTTTAAAATACTTTATGAGGATTTGCCATAGTAATGAGTCCACCAATTTTTATAAAATTTACTAAATGTGACTTGTATTAATTATAAATTTATACTTATTTAGATTATTTAACCTCCTCAAAGTTATGAAAAGTTGCTTTGAATTTTTTACTATCTAGAATTGTCATTTTTAGCTAGTATCGGTTTAATTCACGGTGGCTGCGTATAATATAATACAGTTTTATACGGTTGGGGTACAAAGTTTGAACTGCATTCGTCAAACTAATTTTTTTTTTATTTTTTCTTAATTCTTTTTTGAGGTGAAAAAAAATTCAAAGTTCATTTGATTTTTACCTCATTTGAATTTAATAACTTCAATATATATTAAGAAATATTACCCTCCTTATTTTTGGAATAATCCACCAATTTTTTCATATGAAATACTATCTATAGATTTGCATAGAAGCGCTTCCTATGATAGTGATTTTAATCACTATCAGATTAAATTTATACAGGACACGTCCTGACTGTACTGGGTTTTTATTTTAATTAATTAGAATTAAAGACAATATTTTGTCTTAATTAAACATAAAATTTTTATCTACCCTTTAATTATAAAAATAAAATTTTAATTGTTTTTAATCTTAATTTTATTAAACTAATTTTTTTTGCTAAATATCCATATTTGTAGTGAATGTATAAACTTAATCGCAATATGAAAACATTTTTTGAGAAATGAATTTTACCGACTTAAAATTTCTAAAAAAATTACACATAACTTTCATAATTTTTGAAGAGACTGTGATTGAATTTGGAAGCTAAGGCCACTTTAAATCAACCAAATTGCACAAATGTATACAATAAGTAACTTGAAATTAGATAGTCTACTAATAACAATATTTTCAGTTTATTTAGCGACAATTCAAACAACCGTTTTCAACAAATGGAATAAACATTTTTAAAACGGCGACAAATTAATTATTTTTTATTTGATGGACAATTATTTGAGAAAATGAATACTTAAGTTAATGCAGCCAGGTAGCAAGAGCGACAAATTTAAATAAAAGATAAGTTCATAAGCCAGCTGATATGGCATTGATAAACGTTAATAACTTTTAGATCCTAAAAATATATAGATTTGTATTATATATTTATTTAAGCAACGTTGTCAGTTTGTCTATGAACTTATTGCTATACCGCAGGTTACGAAAGAATGCAATTAAGTTAACTATTGGGTAAGATAGGAGCCTTCTATTTTATCAATTGACCGTCGGCTGGCCTTCTCTAAAGTAGTATATTTACTGTAAATTTGGTTGGGTTTAACTAAAAGTATTTAACCTCTTATAAAATAAGAGATGAATACTACACTACTTAACAAAACCACAAAATTATTTTTTAAACTTTAAAAAATTTTTATTATTTTAGGAGATGTGTGTGAGAATTAGTGGTCAATGACTCTGTAAAGATATTCAAATATTTTTTGTTAATAATTTTCGCAATTTTTATTTAACAGTTTTATAAAATTTATTAAATTCATACTTAAGAAATTATTTATAATTTTTAAATTTTAATTTATAAATTTAATAAAAATTATTGGAAAACATAACTGATTTTAAGCAGTCTTCTGTAGGTTTTTGTACAAGGTGTCTATAATTTATGGAAACAGGGAGAGGTGAATACATAAACCCCATCCAAATATTTATAATTACATTTGTTTCCATAAGAAATTTTTTATAATGTAGGGTTGAACCCCACCTTTACGTAATAGTTAATATAATGTCATTTTTTTTTTTTTTTTGAGAATGAAATTGATAGCTAAGTCTCCTAATTGTATTATTGGTTGATTTTTTTTGCGATTGACATCGTGGGTCTATATGCGTGTCATGAGGTAAGTTCCTTAAAACAATCTATCAAATCTATTCATATTTGTATATTAAACAGTTCAGTTAATATATAATTTGTATTTATTTATCACTAATCAAATTAAAAAAAAAAACGAAAAAATAAATAATCATATAAGTACTTAAGTATGCAATCCAAACTTTCGGGAATATTTAGAATGCATTCTAACTTTGAAACCCAAATGATTCGTTAACAGTTTTTAGTTTTATCAATAATAATGAAATTTTTTATATTGTAAAATCGTAATGGTTCATGAGATATTTTTTTTAGAACTTGATAAATAGTAAACATTATCGAATCCGTTCAAGAAAATAATTTATTTTAATACTTTCGTTAAAATTTTACCATAATTAACATATATATTGTATTTATCAGAGGAACAGTTTCAAAAATTGTTCCTCTGTAGTTTAAAAGAAAATAGAAGTGATTGAACTTTACCAGGATTATTGTATTGAGTATTGACATAATTTAAATGAATTATTTCATACACTTCTAGTAGGACAGAATATTGTATAATTAAGCCAATAAAAAGTAAAAGTTTCATTAAGAACAAAAGTTTTTATTCATTTATTGGTGTGAACTTATAGTATAGCATATAAATATAATTCAATTTAGTCAGTAATTATTTTTCTTATTTTAAATAATTACTTATTTAAATTTCTAGAAATAAAATTTTAGAAGCATATTTTAGGGTTTTAAATCATAAAACCTTGCATATTTATTTTTTTTAGAATTACAAGTCCTTATCATTAAACATTGAAAAAATATTTATGATTATTTCCAACTTCCGAAATAGATAGAAGTTTAAAACCATTTTTTCATTGAAATATGTACATATTTATCAACTTTTAAACAATTTTCTTATGAGATTTTGTTTTGAACAATTATAAATGTTCATATTTTTGTATGATTAATAGTTCGAAGTATTACAATATAAAAGTTATTTGAGTTTTTATGTTCATATCACTTTAACGCACATAGGCACTAGATCATTACTTTGCTGATAGACAGACTTTCCAACTCATAACATAACTTTATTTGTTACATTCACACAAAATAATGTATTTTTTATTAGATGTCATACACAAAAATGTTTTATTAACCTATTGTCAAAAATAATGTTATGTAGCTAAATATTGTTGTCTAAAACTATGATTTTTTCAATCCATTTTTTTTTTAATTTAATAATTTTAAAAAGCAGTTATCTTTTCTTTTTTTAAATATAAATGGATTTTCTTAACGGTACTTTTCTGAGATTATTCGTCTTGGATTACAAACACGAAGTTAGATTTCTAAATATTTCCAGCCTCTTATTAATTGTAAAAAAACCCCACCCAATCTTTTTTTTAAATGAATAAACATATACTTAAGTGCATATTGTAAAATACAACAACATTAGTAATATATAATTTAAATAAAACTTGATTGAATTTAATTTTAGCTAACTAAAGTTACATACAAATAAAGTATGATGTGTATAAAACAGGATTTATCTTGAAGAATATACTACGTTTTCCTGATTAAGGTTAACGAGTGTATGAGTGACCAAAGGATAGATATTGTAGGTCGACTTATAATTATGATAATTAAATAATAATCATTATCAAATTTTTTTCACGCCCTTAAGATCCATTAAACTTTAAATTTTGATAATTAACGTTCATTATTAGAATCATTTAAAATTCAGCTACAAGTTATAATTTATAACTTATAGCTTAATTACTTAATCTATTTATGACCTATAATAGTTGTATTCCTACTCTTGAAATATTTTTGACAACTTATAGCTTAAGTTTTTAAGTATAACTATAAAAGACATATTGACGTTTAAAAGTTACGAGTCCTCGTGGTCTGATACAAAAAATAAATATTTTAGTTTATTTTGTATTAGTAATTTTCAAAATTAAGAGTGCAAATTGAAGATATATAATTAAACACATATACCAAATACCAGTTTATTCATTGTTTATACTTTAAAATAAAGTAGGTCAATATCACTTTTTACAAGAGTATTTCTTTATATTTCGTATTTTTTCTAAGAACGCATAATGAGTATGAATAAGAAATAATATAAATATATAATGCAATGAAAAATATAAAAATAATAGCAGATAGTAGCAACTTATTTTTACTAAAATATTTCAGTAGACGATAGTCTATTTAATAGAATAGATTACTCGATAAATAAAAACTTTAAATATACCTATATGTATATGTTTTACTCTGATAGTAAAGAAATATTGATAGTAATAAACGTTTTCGTTATTATATAGTGGCTTATGATAAATTGATCGTCATTAATAAGTTATTAAACGCTATCTATATGAAGTATAGTGTATGTCTATGTAGGTTTAACTAAAAATGACAACACTTTTTTTAATAACTTTTAATGTTATATATTTTTTTATATGGGAAATAATTAATATACAAAAATAAATCATATTTTATAGTATGTGTAAAATATGCTTCCCTTAAAAAAAAAAGATTTTTCTATTATCTTTTTTCAATTTTGAACTACCGTGGGCTGTTGTCTTAGGTAGCACTATACGAATCAATAACGATAAATGACAACGTATATTAATTATCTCTTTTCGTTAATGAAAGTATCAGGTTACCTTTGGTTGTTTTTAATTTTAATGTTTTAAACAGGTACTTATATAATATATAGTAAAACATAATTGTACTATTCATAAAGTACTAATTTCTCCAATTAATTAAGTCTTATCACGTTCTGTAATTTTTGGAAACTCATACTTTGCACTACGAAGTCTACGAACATTATTGACATACAAATTTCTATTCATTAGATATCTGTCCTTGAACTATTTCACAAAATAAAAACCCCGTTTCTTTTTTCTGTGTACATTACTACATACCTACATCATTTAAACACTATCCGTTTGAATTTGTAGAATCTACGATAAAACATAGATGAAAATTAGGTTTTTTTATATCTATGTATTTTTTTTTTTAATATCATACGTTCAAAGTGTATATAAAATAAACCATAAAATTCCCTACAGTGAATTGTGATTTTCAATATCCCGTTATACCATCTTTTGTAAATCAAGTAAAGTAAAAATAATGCGACCACTGAATAGAAATTCCTCGACGGATATTATCGTGAAACTTCAAGCGGCGCACTTTTAACTGTTCATCTATGCACCTATAGAATTTTGGAGATAGTGGGGACTGGTACAACTAACAGAGAGAGTTAGACCATGTGTTTACTGTGATATCTATAGCTCCGTTCACTTTTTTACTATCACCATTCAGTTTATACTGTAATGTTCAAATATCAAAATCAGATTTTTCTCTACATTTGTTCTTCGTAGTGCTCTGGCCTTGAGGCAATCAGAATGATTTCATAATTGTCATACTTTCTCTTCTTTTCTCTTTCGTAACTTTACGTGGCTCCTGAGTGCACTTTACTAATGTTACTCTCGTCGTCATGAACATCACACCAACACTCCGGCTATTATGGCCCAAAATATGTACCAAAAGTATAGCTAGAATTACCTATCATAATCAACGACGTTATGCTTCAACTACAACAGCAGTAGCAAATGTAAATCAGAAACCTGATTGGAATAGAGCAGTCTCAGAGGCAGAAAAGATAGTTGGTTACCCTACATCATTTCTAAGTCTTAGATGGCTACTCAGTGATGAAATCGCAAATGTTGCTTTGCATTTACGTAAGCTAGTTGGTTCCAATCATCCTCTTCTAAAAACAGCCAAGTTTGTAACTTTAATCTTATGGTTTATTTAATTAAGCATGCCATAATCTATGTGCAAAATGTTAAAAATGAACGTCAACCATAAAACATTAAATTTTTTCTAGTTGTTATTTTTATTTTTCTTTAGAGGACTTTTGTATAATGGAAGAAATAATATGCAAGCATGGGGTTTGATTGTTCTTCTAATTTCTAAGGCAGCTGGTCATCTAAATGTTGATGAGATGGAAGAAGATAAAGCAGCTGGAGTGCTGCATAGCCAAAGGGCATTAGCTGAAGTTACTGAAATGATAAGAACAAGCCATCTTGTACATAATGGTATAGTAAATATATACCCAGGGTTATATCCAGAACCTGTAATACTAAATGATATGGCTTTTGGAAACAAAATTGCACTTTTAAGTGGTGACTATTTGCTGAGTAATTCATGTGCAGAATTAGCTTCTCTTAGAAACCAAGAAGTAAGTATTGTTATTTAAAAATTAATTTTTAATAGTAAATGATTTATTTATTGAAGTAATTTTGTTTTTTCTTAGCTAGTTGCACTAATAAGTAGTGCTTTACGTGATCTGTCTGAAGCTGAATTTATTGGTAGAAGAGATAGACAGAATAATCCTTTACCCTCACCTTTTGAACCACTCAATCAAAGTTGTAACTCATCGTTACCACTAGATCCACTCGAACCATCAAGTTCATTAGGAAGTATGCCTCTTACTCCAGCATTACAAGATTGGACTAGACGTAATGTTCTTTCTGCTGGTAGTTTACTCGGTAAATCGTGTCAAGGGACTTTAGCTTTAGCTGGTCATGGTGTTGAACTACAAAAACAAGGATTTTTGTTTGGAAAGCATCTTTCACTTGCATGGCAGGTAAGAAAAAATATGTGACACTGTACACAATAATTATTTTATAATTATAATTATATCTATTAAATATTTATTTATGATTTATTATTATGTTTAGTTATGAGTTCAATAAACGGAAATACATTTAATAAATTCCATTAATGTAAAACATTGTTTGTTAAGAGTATTATTTTATTATTTTTACAATTAAAATGTTTCTTGCTGTTAAATCATACATAAATATAATGCATTTTTATACAATAGAAAAAAAAATAGTGTTTGGGAGTTTTACTTTTTGTAATTTCATTTTTAAAGTAACATAGTATTTTATGTATTAACCTTTAGTCATAAATCTATATTGTAGATTATATACATTATATTATATTGTAGAATTAAATTTTTGTGTTACTGACATGATATTTTCTTAAAAAATATCTTCTTATTACAAAGTTGTCAGTTTTATTTCTTTCATAATTTTTTAAGTTACTCAGTTTATCATGTTGTTTTAAAAAAATTTGGTTTTGCAAACTGTTTTGAAGTTTTATTTGTTTATCAAAAGTCTTTTGTATATTTGTATATTTGAAATTGTCATAAAATCTTTAAGGAATAAAATTAGAAATAAAATATTTATATACCACTTAAAAAATATTTTAATACTTACATGTCATATGTTGTATCAATAATAAATTTTATAAGTTTTTCAGGAGTTGATAAATTGAATGATTTTCCAGTGTTGAAACTACTTAATTTATCTATTGAATTTTTTAAATTAATACTCTCTGTTTGATTTGGAAATGGTATCATATGTTCATTTGCTTTCATCATTGCATTACTCATACAATTATGCATATATTCAAATAGTTTTTCTTTATTATATTTTTGCTCTAAATGGAAAATAGTTAACATTAAATATTTGATGACTTTTATACTTGCCTATAATGATAGAAAAAAAGTATAAAATCCAGCATAACACTAAGTTGCCTTGTAATGAGGTCATATTCAATTGCTGTATGTTCTGAATAATCAAGGTTATTTGATCTGCTAACCAAAAATTAATTTGATTTTCTTCTATATCTTTTAGATTTAAAATTGATGCTACAATTCTGATTTATAAATTATTTTTAAACTTTTAAATATCAATTTTATTTAATATGATTATTTCATACTCACGGAACACTTGTCTGAGGATCAATGTTTATTAATGATGGAATATCTAAAATTTGTACTTGTACTCCCATGAATTTAAAGTTTTCATTTACATTCTTTAAAACAGAATTATTAGATTTATTACTTATCTCATTAGTCTTAAGAATTGGATTAGACATTTTTAAACTGATAATCTGTGTGAAATACTGTAGAATTAAATTACTGTTTATTTACTAATAACTATAGTAATTAAATCAATTAATGGAGAAAAAAATTTCAGGCATATCTAGATCTAGAACCTTTTATGTCTGGATCTCCATATTCATTGGGTATTTCATTTAACCTAACATCAGCTCCAGTTATGTTTCACTTAGAACACGATCCTTCTCTCTTTGAAGAAATTGACAAAGGCATAGAATCTGTACAAAATGTTGATTATGCTAAGGTAAGTAATTTTATTAATCTAAATATGTTTTATTTTATTTTTTATTCATTAGCTATTGAAAGAATATTTGTTTGTTTTCCTGTAGAAATTATTTTTAAAAATAGTAATGTCTGGTGATTTTGTGTATCACTAATTAATTTTTTATCATTAAATTTGTTTTTGTAATTTTTACTTAATTAAAAATTACACTTGAATATCTTTCTTTGATTCTTGCTTTTTTTAATTCCCCTGGATATATTCTAATGTATCTAATTTTTCTTTCTGTAGAAGAATCTCTTACATTTTAGGAAATATAGACCCTTACTTTTTATAAAAAAAAAGAGTTTAACATTAATATAAAATTGATAACTATGTAATAAAGAAATTAAAATTTGTTTTTTTCTCTTAAAATATAAGTTATACAATATTAAATACAAGATAGTTGTAGAAAAAAAAACCCAGCACAGGAGGGTCGCGGCACAGTGGTGACGTGGTATAGATGGATCAAGTATAGTGATATCTGACAGTGATTAAAATCACTTTCAAAAAAAAACTCTNCTATTCCAAAAGCTACATTATCTGCTAGTTCATTATTAATATCCTAATTAAGATAAAGTATGTAGAATGAAAAAGGGATTATTAAAAAATATTATTTCTCATAAAAAAATAATGTTGATCCATACACTTTTCAATATGTCATAGCATTTGGTAGTCATTTTCACCGTGAAGATAAAATAAAGTCCGAAATTTTTTTTTTGCATAATAAAGTACATTACATTAGCTTAATTTAAGATATATATAAAAGTGTCAGACTTTTCGGAACACTTTCAAAATTTAAGTTGAAAAAGTTCTACTTTCTACATGAATTTTTTAGATTTGAACCCCCCTCGTATATAGGGAAATGGTCCGATTTAAAAAAACAGTATGTCAAATGAAAGATGTATATAAATACTACTCCTCATGAAAAAATTGTACTGATCCATACATTTTTCAAAAAGTTATAGCATAATAAAGTTAAAAATGTAAAATACAAAATCGAAAATTTTCACACAAAAATAGCATTCGGTAGCCATTTTCACCGTGAAGATAAAATAAAGTCCGAAATTTTTTTTTTGCATAATAAAGAATATTACATTAGCTTTAATTTAAGATATATATAAAAGTGTCAGACCTTCCGGAACATTTTCAAAAGTTAAGTTGAAAAAGTTAATTTTTTTTGAAAAAGTTGTCATTTTAAATCCCCCCTTGTGGGCAGGTTAAGGGTTAAATTTATGAAAAAAATATACCAAATGAAAGGTAATGATATTATGCATCTATATAAAAAAGAATTATATTGATATGTTCATTTTTGAAAAAGTTATGGCACTTTTAAGTAAAAAAAATTGAAAAAATTTCGAAAATTAGCGATTTTTAAATTTGTAATTTTTTTGGAGGTTTCCCCCATTTACGGGGAACGAGGGAATTTTTTTCAATTTTTAAGGGTAATGTCTTCGACTAGATACGATTTGTGATCTTTTGACGTATCATTGAAAGAAATCGGTTCGGTGAGAGCTGAGAAAAAGTGGTAACAGACACAAAAAAAAAAACACATCTTAGTAAAACCAATACCTTCTCAGCTTCGCATCGAAGCTAAAAATTAATTATATAATTTTAATATATATATTATATATATATATTTTTCATTATAATTTTTAATAGAATAATTGAATTTTTGATTTTTTTCTTTAGGTACATAATATTGTATTGAAAGGCCCTGGAATAGCATACACAAAACAGTTGCAAAAAGAACATTCACAAAAAGCTATGAAAGTTTTGGAAGTCTTCGAAGAAAGTGATGCAAGAACAGCTCTATCAAATATTATAGTTGCTATGGGTGGAGAATGAAATATTTTTTTTAAATAAAATAATTTTGAAATCTTGAATTATATTACCATTAAACAAAAATGATAATTGTATAACAAACAAGGTGTCATTAAATTATGTTATACCTTAGTAAATAACTAGATATTTTATTCGCTGTTGAGATTGTTAGATAACTGTTATACCCATAATTTATTATTAACAATTTTGTTAATTGTGATGTGCTAATATAACTAATGTTGATATGTTAGTTAAAACTTTATTATTGTTAATTAAAGTATAATGTATATTATGTAAAAAAAAAGAATGAATAAATTTGTGTACAGTTTTGTTTATGTTTTCAAATATTTAATTTCAATAATTCTTAACTATTTTGAAATTGTTATAGCTTAATGGTGTTTATTCAAAGGGAATGTCGTATTTTTTATTAAAATTGATTTGTACTTTAATACACTTAACATATTAATTAATATATTTTAATATGTTAATCAACAGTTAAATAATTATTTATTTTTAAATAAAAAAGGCTTATAGTAATTTTGCTCTGATATTTTTGATATATTAGCCTTAAAAAATCAATCAATTTTATTAAATAACCTCTTGTAAAATATAAAGAAAATTATAAAACCTAGTCAAAAAATTTCGATAATAACTGTTATATGGTGTAATTTTTTTGTTTTGTCTTCTTTTAAAGTTTTTAAAAAACAAATGTTTTATAATATATAAAATTAATATATATTCTACTTTTCTTTAATACAATTAATAATATTTTTAATTGTTAATACTCAGTTTATATTAAATTTTGTAATATATCTCGTTAGTGTTAAAATAGTAGTCATGATGCGCGAAAATAATTAATTTAACCTGTTCTATACTTTTAATTTATAGAACAAGTTTAAATATAAGACTAGTCCAAGATATTTGCTATACTGGATAAAACTATAAATTATGACTTTTTCTTTTTATGATCATTATTATTCAATCTTTATTATTATTAATTATTTTCAACTTAAAAATGCTATAACTTTTTGAAAAATGTAATTATCAGCACAATTTTTTTTTCTAAATACATTATAAGTACATCTTTTATTTGACATACTTTTTATTAAAATTGGATAATTCTCCATATATAGGGAGCGTTCAAAACTTGAAATATTGTATAAAAAATAGAACTTTTTCAACTTAACTTTTGAAAGTGTTCTGGAAATACTGCGTCCTTTAAACATATATAAAATTAAAGCTTATTTTATGTACTATAAAATGAAAAAAAAAAAAAATTTGTCCCGACGACCTATCTACTATGTGAAAATTGCTGTCAAAATTAAAAAAAAATGTAATACTTGCGATAAAAATCACCTTCTATAAGGATGTTTTTTGTACTTAAAACTGCCATAACTTTTTCAAATATTAACAAATCAAAATAATATTTTAGCTTCGATGCGAAGCTGAGAAGGTATTGGTTTTACTAAGATGTGTTTTTTTTTTTTTGTGTCTGTTACCACTTTTTCTCAGCTCTCACCGAACCGATTTCTTTCAATGATACGTCAAAAGATCACAAATCGTATCTAGTCGAAGACATTACCCTTAAAAATTGAAAAAAATTCCCTCGTTCCCCGTAAAAGGGGGAAACCTCCAAAAAAATTACAAATTTAAAAATCGCTAATTTTCGAAATTTTTTCAATTTTTTTTACTTAAAAGTGCCATAACTTTTTCAAAAATAAACATATCAATATAATTCTTTTTTATATAGATGCATAATATCATTACCTTTCATTTGGTATATTTTTTTCATAAATTTAACCCTTAACCTGCCCACAAGGGGGGATTTAAAATGACAACTTTTTCACAAAAAATTAATTTTTTTAACTTAAATTTTGAAAATGTTCCGGAAGGTCTGACACTTTTATATATATCTTAAATTAAAGCTAATGTAATATACTTTATCATGGAAAAAAAAAATTTCGGACTTTATTTTATCTTCAAGGTGAAAATGGCTACCAAATGCTATTATTGTGTGAAAATTCTCAATTTTATTTTTTACATTTTTAACATTATAATGCTATAACTTATTGAAAAGTGTATTGATCAATATAATTTTTTTATGGGATATACTATTTTCTAATAATCTCTTTTTTATTCGACATATTTTGTCTTAATCAGGATATTAATAAGGAACTAGCAGTTTATGAAGCTTTTGGAATAATCCACCAATTTTTTAAAATTAAACACTATCTAAAGATTTGCATCGAAGCGTTTTTTTTTTATAGTGATTTTAATCACTGTCAGATATCATTATACTTGATCCAACTATGCCACGTCACCACTGTGCCGCGACCCCCCTGTGCTGGGTTTTTTTTTTAACATTATGATGCTATAACTTTTTAAAAAATGCATGAATCAATTCTATTTTTTAACAATAAATACTTTATATAAACTTCTTTCATTCGACGTCCTTTTTTTTTAAATCGGACATTTTACCTTTATACAGGGGGGTGCAAAGTTTTTAAAATGCGTATAGAAAGTAGAACTTTTTCAACTTAACTTTTTTTATATTGAAACCTTAGGTAATTTCCTTTCGTTTGATATCATTTTTTTTTGAAAATCTAACACTTATTCTACTCACAAGGGGGATTTAAAATAGCAACTTTTTTACAAAAACTAACTTTTTCAACTTAATTTTTGAAAATGTTCCGGAAATACTGCGTTCTTTAAACATATATCAAATTAAAGCTTATTTTATGTACTATAAAATGAAAAAAAAATTTGTCCCGACGATCTATCTCCTATGCGCAAATGGCTACCGTATTCAAAAATATGCTATTTTTCTATTAAAATTATAGGTTTTGTATTTTATTATATTTTAAAATATCTTATTAGGAGAATTTATTGACTATCATGAATATTATATAATTTAATTGACATAGAATAAAGTTCATAAGACATAAGAAATTAAACTTATTAATTTTTTTTTACTTTTTGTGTAAAAAATATATAGCTGTGTTATTTTGAAAATTGTTATTTTTCAGATTTATATTATCATTCATACTTTTCATTTTTATTAATTCTTTTTGTAA